AAAGTTGTTCAGCTGGTGGCCCTTGATCTCAAAGCTTCATTTGATTCAGTTTGGCATGATGGCCTGCTCTGTAAAATAATACAATTCGGTGTTAAAGATAATAGTATCCTGTGGATTGCTAATTTTTTGAACCAGAAATTAATCAGAGTAAAGTGGAGAGGCGTCCTTTCAAAGGAGCTATGAGCTTACCAGCGGTGTCCCTCAGGGCTGCATTTTGTCTCCTATTTTCTTCTCAATCTTCATGCACGATATCTATGAAATTATCCCGGCTGATGTCGACTGCTACGTGTATGCGGACGACATATTCCTCTGCCGTGAAGATGTCTCGTTCTTCAGGTAGTCAGTAATTTGCAGCGTGCGCTGTTTAAAGTGCATAGATGGGCTAAAGAATGGAACTTATGCATTTTCCCAGAAAAAAGTAAATCGATTATTTTCGGTGGGACAAAGAGTAGTGAAGAGAATCTACTGAAGTTTGATGGTGTTAGCATCCCTGCGGAAGATCACATTAAAATTCTGGGCATGTGGTTTAATAGTAAACTGAGCTGGAACGTCCATGTAAATAAAATAGTACCGAAACTGAAGAATGCTGAATGCATTTAAATTCATCGCGAGCCCCAGCTCGGGTGCCAGAAAAGTGGATCTCGTTAATATTGCAAGTGCTACAATAAGAAAAAGAATAGAATATGGCAGCTGTCTCCAGAGTCGTAGCTAGGGTTTTCAGCGCCCAGGGACAACTGAAGATTTCGCGCCCCCTACTGCTTGCCAAGGAGGGAAAACATTTAATTCTAAAATGTTGTAACATCAGTTTGGCGTCCCTTGGATCCTGCGCCCGGGGACAGATGCCCCCTTGCCCCCTCTAGCTACGCCCCTGGCTGTCTCCTCATGTCTACCACTCAACAAAATAAGAAAAAGCTTGAAATTGTTTATAATCACGCCTTAAGACTGGCTATAGGAGCTCCTATCAGCACCCCTCTCCCGTTGTTATATGTTGAAGCAGGGGTTTTCACCTTAGATACGAAAAGATGCATCATCGCAATTAAGTTCCTAATAAAGAATACTGCTCTATGAGCAGCCTCTTCCATTGCGGAAAGTCTGAAAAATTGTTTGCAAAGATGCAAATACAAGTGGAGCAAAATACGTAAGCCCATTAGCCAGTGTGTTAAAGACAAGCTAAGCAATCTCGATCTAGATTTCAGTAAGTGTATTATTTTTAACAATGAGCTAGATTTTTCTGAAGAAGTTAAGTGTTGTTTCAAAATAAATGAGTTCCAGAACAAAAATCTTTCAGATGTGGAGATACAGCAATTTTTCCGCTGCATTCATTATTAATGATTACGTGAATCAAGGTTTTAAGATCTACGCTACAGACGCTTCCAAGTCTGATACAGGAGTTAGTATTGCGGCTGTAGATCGAACCGCGGTGATTGTCAGTCAGTGCATAGACAATAGAAGCTCCATCTTTTCAGCTGAGGCTTGAGCCCTTTGTAAGCTTCTTGAGAAACTGAATCCTAAGGAAAAGGTTTCTATCCTAACAAATAGCAAATCTGTAGTCAGCGCGTTGACCTGCGTTCATAGGAGATCCAACTCTCTCATCCTTAAGCTCTTCGAGCGGATTAAGACTTTCCATCACCTCACAGCCATAAGGGTATAGGGTTCAATGAAAAAGCGGATAAAATTGCAAAAAGAAGAAATATGAATAACTCGGGGGATCTTTCAGCAGATGATGCGTGTAAGTTCATCGAGAATACTATTAAGGAATAGCAAGTGGACAGCTGGCGGACTTACACCGGCCGCAGATTCAGATACTGTAATGTTCATTGTGAGTGGAGTAAAGGATTAAACATCGATAGGAAAATGAAAATAGTAATCAGTAAAATAAGATTGCAAATGTTGGACTTGAACCAACTGTTGTACAGGTATCGCAAAGCGAATTCGCCATTTTGTGACTCATGTTATATGATTGACAGTACAGAACATGCAGTTATTCACTGCAGAAAGTACCAGAAACATTATGCTCAAGAACATGAAAATTAGCAATATTGACCTCTTAGCTGATCTTTTAAATCATTGTAATAAGAAAACTTGGAGATATTATTTTTTAGGCAAATTTGTCATCAAATACATCCTAAAGAATTTTTAAGTACTATTAGTGTAAGGGTTTGGTTTTCGGACCGACGTCCCCCCCCTGAACTGGAGAGAATGCGTCCTTGTGGTTTAACATTTAAACATCATTATACACTGGTTATTATAAATTAAGGAAAATTCACAAAAGTCACGATTACTGAAAAAGTTACATATAGAATTTTATGAAACTTACCCACAGTATACAACACATAGTAAGGTATCAAATGGCATAAAAATAAATTACCAGACAATTATGGTAGTATAAAAATTAGCACATGTATAAAATGAACAAATCGAAGGTGTCAGTTTGCTATAGAAAAAGTACCTTCAATATGGAATGTGGTCGCCTCTAGAAGCAATACAGCACATACAGCGATGCGTGGAGCTTTCACTTATGCAGTCTATCATCTCCATAGGAAGCGAGAGCCATTGCTCTTGCAAAGCAGTTGCAAGAGCAGCAAGGGTCTGAGGGGGCGGATTGAGAGCAGCTAGACGTCTCTCTAAAGCATCCCAAACTTGCTTGATAGGATTCAAGTCCGGGGATCGAGCTGGCCATACCATGCGCATATTTGTTTCCTGTTGAAGATATTATCGTCCTGTAACAGGAAAGCATGACCTATTGCTCCGGCACATGGGCGCACATAAGCATCAAGGATGTCATCTCTATAAACCGGAGCATTCACGGTTTCCTTTGGAAAGACATGAAGGTCTGTGCGTCCGTCCATCCAAAGAGATGCCACCCCAAACACAGACACTGCCTCTTCCGTATGCATCCCTTTAACGCATGTTTGACAGGTGATAACGGGTTCCAGGTGTTCTCACCATAACAAATAACGCCTACTATCGCTTTCTAGACTAAACCTGGACTCATCCGTAAACAGAACAGCTCTCCACTGACCATGCGGCCAGTGGATATGTTGTCGTGCCTACTGCAAACGGTCCCTTCTATGGCGTGACGTGAGCGGCACGCAAATGGCTGATCGTCTCGCATACAGACCATCTTCGTGAAGCCTTCTACTCACAGTCGACGATGACACCAACCTTCCGGTGGCTGCAGCAAGGGAGGATCTAAGAAGAGTTGGAGTAGCGGTTCTATACCTGCGTGCACATAATGTCAAATATCGGTCATCGGCGCTCGTCGTAGCAGTTGGCCGTCCTTGGCTTAACCTTCTAGATGCCGAATCTGTGGTTTGAAATCGCCTCCAAAGTCTATGAACCACAGAAGGACTCACATTTAGCCATCTGGCCACTTCTGTTTGACTCTAGTCTCCCAATAGCTCTCCATCGTAGTTCTGCAGGCAAATGATGCCTGGAGGTCATTGTTACGAATTGGCTATCTCAGATTTCTGATGTCACTATCACAGTGAAATATGTGGGCTTGCTCTCAAACATAGACTTTTATTCTCCTCTCAGATGACGTATTCCGAGTGCAGCGCCACTAATTTGCATATTGCAGTTTTACTCAGCTACTCTTACTTGGCAACATATTCAAATTTTACACGGTGGGCCCGTCAATAGCTCAGTAAAACTCATAATTAAATAAATACCTTTACACAAAACTCAAAAAATGGACTGTATACTAAAATTTATTAATTACTCAAGAAGCCGCATAGTTAGTTCACATCTCTCGGCGGCGTCTCAGAACACACTCAATACAGCCGCAAGATGGCACTATAAAAAACATCAGCGTCATCGTTTTAGAACATAAATATTACAGATTTTTCACAGATGGCGCCTCTGGCGTCAACATCCAGCCCGGCCTTGAATGTTACATTCAACAATAAATTTAAAACAAAAGTTATAAAATACAAACACAACACTCCAAGATAATAATAATGATGGTTATAACAATTATACAAACTCAAACTTGATAATAAACTACAAATAAAATTTAAGTAACTGAAACTTTTTCATTAACAAAAGGCGAAGGTACAATTTTTGTCATTGGCCTTTTATAGGTTCCGTTTATATCTTTAAGTGTCACAACTCGAATAATATTATCTTGACCTGGATGGGTTTTAATAATTCGTGCTAAATGCCACTTTAAAGGAGAGTAATTATCCGAATCTTTTACTAAAACCAAATCTCCTTCCTTCATTTCTACTTTTCCTTTATACCATTTAGGTCTATTTAAAAGTTTGTTTAAATATTCAGACGACCATATTTTCCAAAAATTTTGATTTCATTTCTGAACCATTTGCCATCTAGTTATCCGATTTATAGGAATCTCTCTGTAAAATTAGGTTCAGGCAATGCAATTAAAGATGAACCAATAAGAAAGTGAGCAGGTGTCAATGCCTCTACATCATTTGGATCATTTGATATGGGACAAAGAGGGCGAGAATTAAGTACAGATTCAATTTGAACAATTAGAGTAAAAATTTCTTCATAAGTTAGATTTTTTTTTTTTTTTTTTTTTTTTTTTTTGTTTTAAGTGATATTTAAGGGATTTGACACTAGCTTCCCATAAACCACCAAAGTGAGGAGTAGAGGAAGGATTAAAATGCCAATTTATACTTTCAGTAGCGAAATAACCTTTGATTTCTTCCTCACTTTTATCCTTAAATAAAGATTTTAAAATCGCTCTTAATTCTCTATGAGCACCCACAAAATTTCTGCCATTATCACTGAAAATATCTGAGGGTTTACCTCGGCTGGCAATAAAGCGTTTATGTGCTGCTATAAATGCTGCACTTGTTAAATCATTTACAATTTCAAAGTACAAGGCCTTCCTAGTGAAACATACAAAAATATATACAAATACTTTTCTTACCTGTTTACTTCTACCTATAAAATGTTTTACCACAAATGGACCACAGAAATCGAGTCCTGTTTTAGCAAAAACTTTTGATATGATCAATCTCGCAGCTGGTAAATCAGCCATCTGTTGCTGCACAGACCTACAATTTACTTTTTTACAAATCATACAATTAAATACAATTTTTCTAATTAAAAGTACAAGGCCTTCGTAGTGAAACATACAAAAATATATACAAATACTTTTCTTACCTGTTTACTTCTACCTATAAAATGTTTTACCACAAATGGACCACAGAAATCGAGTCCTGTTTTAGCAAAAACTTTTGATATGATCAATCTCGCAGCTGGTAAATCAGCCATCTGTTGCTGCACAGACCTACAATTTACTTTTTTACAAATCATACAATTAAATACAATTTTTCTAATTACATTTCTTGCAGAAACAATCCAAAATTTACTCCTTATAAGTGATAGGGTTGTTTCAGCTCCTGCATGAAAATAAAGAACATGTAAATGATTAATCACAATTACAGTAAAATTATGCTTAGTTGGCAGAATCATAGGATGTTTTCTCATTTCACTTAAGTCATTGTTTTTCAGCCTGCCACCCACTCTGAGTATTCCATCATGATCTAAAAATGGACACAAATTCAATACTTTACTACTATTAGGAATAGAGCACCCTTTTCTAAGCACTGGATTTCTGTCACAAATGAAGTACTTTGAACGTTTCCACAATACACAATAACGCACTAGAGAAAGTTCACAGGTTGTCAACGTTCCGCGTGTTGCATGCAATGGATGCCTGGTGTTATGCAAGAATCTCTTGCACCAAGCCACTACTCTTAGCAATTTGTTGTAAGATGAACAGTTATTAATGACATTTAATGGCTCATAAGTGTTAATAAGTGCATATATTTCACTTACTGCTGGTGGTTTTAATTCGCGAAGATACAGTTCTTCGGACTCCTCAGGGATATCATCTTGGCACTTAGTCATCACAGGTTGAAGAAGAAATGGGGGACCACGCCACCACAGTTCACACAGTTGAAGTTTGACCGGATCAGCACCTCTTGATATGAGATCTGCAGGGTTCTGTTTAGATGGGACGTGATGCCACTGTCGCACCTCCGTCATTTCTTGAACCACCGCAACTCGATTAGCAACGAACGTTTTCATACAACAGGGCTCCTTTTTCAGCCAAGCCAAGACTATCGAAGAGTCACTCCAGAAAAATACATAATTCATATTAAGTTTCAGAGCAAATATTACTCGAGTCATTAACTTCGCAAGCAATACAGCTGCGCATAACTCTAATCTTGGTATAGTAACTTGCTTCATAGGAAAAACTTTTGATTTACTTGTTACCAGCCTTATCACCACTTCACCATACTGGGAGACGGATTTACAATAAACTACAGCTCAAAAGCTAACTCGGAGGCATCACAAAATCCGTGTAACTCAATAACATTTGCTTCTGCGACAAGAATGCATCTGTTAATTTCTAATTTACATATTTGTGGTAGTTCAGAGAAAAACCGTTGCCATTCTTTGGTTTCTTTATCAGGTAGAAGATCGTCCCAATTGAGCTTCAAAACCCATAGTCTCTGAAGAAATATTTTAGCTTTAGCTATCACGGGACCCAATACACCAAGTGGGTCAAAAATTCTCGCTATTGTTGACAAAACTTGCCTTTTAGTAATTTTAGACTCATTTTCTAGTTTCACTTTAAAATTAAAACAATCTTTATCTGCTTTCCGGGAAACACCAAGGGCTGATACTTCATTCGCGCACTGAAATGTGTATTCATCATCAACGCTAACTGCAAGCTCTGGATTGTTGCTACACCATTTATGCAGAGTCCTAGTTGCACTTTTTAAAATCTCAATTAATTCATGCTGTAGCTGTTGCCGAACTCAATGAAATGGACCCTGTTAGAACATCATCCATGTAAAAATCACTCTGTAGAACTGCAGCTGCTAATGGAAAATTTGTGAACTCATCTATAGCAAGCTGACGTAATGTTCTCATGGCTAAAAAAGGTGCACTTACTGTGCCATAGGTGACCGTGTTCAACTCAAAACTTTTAACTGAACCATTAATTGACTCTTTCCACAAAATTCTCTGTAGCTGCCGTCGAGTAGGGTGAATCGATATCATTCGGTACATCTTTTTGATATCCGCTGTAAAAGCATAAATATGTTTTCGGAAACGTACCATAATTGAAAACAAGTCCTCTTGAATTACACCACCATTATACTGAATTGAATTCAGTGAATTACCTTTTGACGTTGCAGTCGAAGCATTGAACACTACTCTCAAAGGTGTCGAACTTTTCTCAGTGCGATAAATACCAAGATGTGGAATATAATATTTCCCCCTTTGCTCATCTTCATCTTTCACTTCAGTCATGTGACCTAGTTCACTATATTTATGTAGAAAATCAGAGTACAATAATGAGTAATTTTCATTCTTACTTAAACGAGTTTAACCTCTTAAGCGCGATTTGTTTCGAAGTCCCTAAACACATTGGATCTTTCTTAAACGGTATCTTGACTACATATTTTCCGGTTTCAGTCCTGTAATAGTTTTTGAGAAAATGCTGTTCACAAATTTCTGCTTCTTTAATTTTAGAAATCTCAGACTCTCTACGTTTTCGATTTCCCAAAGCTTTCTTACTGCTCCTTCTAACTCCAAATTATCTGTAATAAGACCACAATGTAATTTACTTTCCCCTTTAGCAGGAAGAGTCCCATATACAACATAGCCGAAAACACTATTTTGTAATCTTAAATTTGAATCCTGAAGGGAAATTTGACCTGGTTTTAAAAGCTCATAGAAATGTTCTGCACCTATCAGAAATTCAATTGGGCCTGGGTCAAAAAATTTGTCATCTGCTAAATTGATATTATCTAAAGATGAAACATTAATTTCAAGAGGCCTTAGAGGGCGTATATTCTGGTTATTTTAGGAACCACCAAAAAATTTTAAACTTAAATCGAAACTCTTATTGTCTCTATTTAAAATAGTTGCACTAACTCTAGATTTTTATATTCAAAGACAAATTATTTATTCCTGAAACAGAAATGTTAGTCTTTTGTCCCTTTAATTGAAGCAAATTTGCTAACCCTTTGCTTCATAAAATTTGAATTAGGCGTCGAACATCTAACAAACCTTCTAACCTTTAAAAAAGTTACTCGATGCATCTTTAATTAAACAAACAAAAGTGCTGAGTAAGACAGCTTTTAATTCATTCGCGAGATTGCACGTTGTTGATAATAAATTTTGATCAGTACTTGCTTTAGCTTGCACAGGTTCAAATAATGGAGCCGAAGCGTCTGTTATATATGTAACTGTAACTGTATCTATTATTATCTTAAACTGTAACTGTAATATAGAATAGTAGATGAGTAATGTAGAATAAACGATGTTTGTGTACATCTTGTAATCATCACTGAGCACGTACCCAACACATATAAAATACAACACATGGCGCAGCTCGTCGTTGATTAAAAAAGAAAATCTTTTTTGAAGAACCATGCAGCCTCGGTAAAGATGTTCTAAACAAAACCATCATGGGAAGTTGTTTACTGTGAAATCGAAACTTATATCGCTGGTAAGTGAGTTGTTTATTATTATTGGAAGTGGCTAAAAATACGTATATATAAACTATTTAAAGTCCTAAATTAAATATGGATGGATTAAAGCCACCAAGTAATCTAAGTTTCGAAGGAAATTTAAGCGAAAATTGGAAGAAATGGAAACAAAAATTCCAAATTTATATGTTACCGTCTGGTGGTATTACTAAATCACCTGAAATTAAAGTAGCTATTTTATTGCATATAATTGGTGAAGAAGCACTTGAAAAATTTAATACTTTTAATTTAAGTGAAGAAGATAAGAAGGATGTTGACAAAGTAATTGAAGCTTTCGAAAATTTTTGCATACCGAAAGCAAACGAAAGTGTGATATAGACATATATTTTCTGTCGAACACAACATGTAGCTGAATCGTTTGATGATTTCTTAACCGATTTAAAGAAATTAAGTAGCAACTGTGGATTTGCAGAATTAAAAGATAGTTTAATAAGGGATAGAATAGAATAGGGCACAGCTTTAGTATAGCCCACCTGGAATTTTAAACAAAAAAAAAAAAATATCGCCAAGAGCGGCGATAAATAATATGATCTGGTAACCCATACTATTCGCCAAACGCAATGTAAACAAGAGGATGGAATTACGGTTACAGCTAATTTAGTAGTCTGTTACATTTATTCAATTTCAATACAAATTACCGACATATCCGTTTACTCAAAGTTTAATGCACGTGCCCTGTATTCTTACTTTTCCGGTATAGATTTGTCTTAAAATTTGTCTCACGCTGCGTTGCAAGAGGAAATACAACATTTTAAATTAGAATTCTACTAAAATTAATATCTAAATACACAATTCGTAACACTGTTATTGGCGATTGTTTAACGCTCAGATACCGTGAATTCTATTTTGTACATATATTTTTGGCTACTTGAGGTGATATTTTTGCGTTTAGTTATTGCTTGCTTTAAAACTGCTGATAGTGATGTTGTAATTAAATATCAGGAGATTATAAAGGAAAATTTAAGGTGGGAGTTTTCAAACAAGCGTAAAATTTTGGGTACAGATATTTTATGTATGAATTAACAATAGTATGAACTTTTTAGACGATTTTTGATGGATTGTCGATTATTGAAGGATAACGTTTTCTGTGAAAAATGTAAGATACCATGCCGGTTAGTTAGTCAGAAAAAATCATCGAATGGTAGTACTTGCAAGAAATGTACGGCTGAGAAATCAATTAGGCTAGGATCTTGATTCGCCTGTAGTAAACTCAATTTTTCTAGAAACTTTTTTTTCTTTCTTTTTTTTTTTTAAACGCGAATCAATGGAGTTGCTTATGCGCGAATTTCTGCAATTCTCTGATTTCTTTTAAGTGAAAGCAGATTTCTTAGTATATGAGCAATGCAGAGTTTATTCAATTTCTGATTTTTAAGTAAAAAGAGATCGCCATATACATGAGTAAAGCCAATGCAGTGCGCAATGCCGAGGTTGTGCGCGGTTTGTGCAATTCTAGGATGTTTTTTTAAGTGAAAATAGATCGATGTGTACATGGGCAGAGCCAATGTAGTGCGCAAGGCCGAGGTTGTGCGCGATGCCTAGTTTCTGCAATTCTAGGATTTTTTTTAAGTGGAAATAGATCGATGTGTATATGGGCAGAGCCAATGTAGTGCGCAATGCCGAGGTTGTGCGCGGTGCCTAGTTTGTGCAGTTCTAGGATGTTTTTAAGTGAAAATAGATCGATGTGTACATGGGCAGAGCCAATGTAGTGCGCAATGCCGAGGTTGTGCGCGGTGCCTAGTTTGTGCAATTCTAGGATGTTTTTTAAGTGAAAATAGATCGATGTGTACATGGGCAAAGCCAATGTAGTGCGCAATGCCGAAGTTGTGAGCGGTGCCTAGTTTGTGCAATTCTCGGAAGATTTTTAAGTGAAAATAGATCGATGTGTACATGTGCAGAGCAAATACCGTGCGCAATGCCGAGTTTGTGCAAGTCTCGGATGCTTTTTAAGTGAAAATACATGGATGTCTACATGGGCAAAGCCAATGTAGTGCGCAATGCCGAGGTTTTGCGCGGTGCCGAGTTTTTGCAATTCTAGGATGTTTTTTAAGTGAAAATAGATCGATGTGTACATGGGCAGAGCCAATGTAGTGCGCAATGCCGAGGTTGTGTAATTCTAGGATGATTTTTTAAGTGAAAATAGATCGATTTGTACATGAGCACAGCCAATGTAATGCACAATGCCGAGGTTGTGCGCGGTGCCTAGTTTGCGCAATTCTAGGATTTTTTTAAGTGAAAATAGATCGATGTGTACATGGACAAAGCTAATGTAGTGCGCTATGCCGAGGTTGTGCGCGGTGCCTAGTTTGTGCAATTATAGGATGTTTTTTTAAGTGAAAATAGATCGATGTGTACATGGGCAAAGCCAATGTAGTGCGCGGTGCCGAGTTTGTGCAATTCTAGGATGTTTTTTTAAGTGAAAATAGATCGATGTGTACATGGGCAGAGCCAATGTAGTGCGGAATGCCGAGGTTTGGATTCTCTGATATTTTTAAGGCAATGGAAATAGATGGATGTGTACATTTGGACACTGAGCTTTGATGTTTTTCGGGCGAATACGGATCGTTGTGTACAAAGGGAAAATCGAGATAATGTGTGATGACCGAGCTGGTAATGTAACGTATTTTATATGCAATGTTTAACATATCCTTTGTGTATTTTAAATTTGTATTGTTGTTTTAATTGTGA